GAAAGTAATGAAATGAAAGTATGGAATATAAGATACGACCATCGTACCATGAATGAAGAATAATATGTATGGCAAGAAGGGAACCAATAAAATAATGATGTTGTATGTAATTGAAAGTACTAATGAAGTGATAGTATGAAGATGAAATGTGGTTGTTCGCCTAAATGAGAATTATGAGGTGTTGTATGTCCCAATGGTTTCAACTATAGTTGTATGCTTCTGAAATAATGCATGTAAATGACTTCGATGTTAAGTCCTCAAGAATCATGAACTTAGCTAATGACCTCAAGATGTCAAGTGGGTAAATAACGAGATGGAAGAGAGATGTCCTATGTTAAATGATGATGAACCTTAAGAAAGGAAATTGGGCTTATGTGCCATTGAAATTGACTTATTGATTCACCATGCATGTGCTAATGTAATGTTCTATGTTTCTCCATGATGGGCATGAACATGAAGTGTTCCAATGATCCGGGAACTTACGACCTTAATGTAATGTTAATCATGTCGCTTTGAGTTTATACATGGTTATATGCATAATGATGTGTTATGAACCCTATGGATGGTCTATGAAATGCATAGGTATATCGTGTTGTGAAATCCTATGGACGGTCTATGAAACGCACAAGTGTATTGTGTAAGTAAACATTGTTAACGATCTATGAAATGCACAGGTATATCGTATGGTATATGTGAATCCTGTGGACGGTCTATGAAATGCATATGTGTATAATATGATATGTGAACACTATGAACGGTCTATGAAACGCACATGTGTATTGTGTAAGTAAACACTGTGAACGGTCTATGAAACGCACAGTTGTATTGTGTAAGTAAACACTGTGAATGGTTTATGAAATGCACACGTGTATCATATGGTATATGTGAATCATGCGGACGATCTATAAAACGCATATGTGTATAATATGATATATGAACACTGTGAACAGTCTATGAAACGCACATGTGTATTGTGTAAGTAAATACTGTGAACGGTCTATGAAACGCACAGGTGTATTATGTAAGTAAACACTGTGTACGGTCTATGAAACGCACATGTGTATTGTATGGTATATGTGAATCCTGTGGACGGTCTATGAAACACACAGGTGTATTGTATAAGTAAACACTGTGAACGGTCTATGAAACGCACAGGTGTATCGTATGGTATATGTGAATCCTGTGGACGGTCTATGAAACGCATATGTGTATAATATGATATGTAAACACTGTGAACGGTCTATGAAATGCACATGTGTATTGTGTAAGTAAACATTGTGAACGGTCTATGAAACGCACAGGTGTATCGTATGGTATATGTGAATCCTGTGGACAGTCTATGAAACACATAGGTGTATAATATGATATGTGAACACTGTGAATGGTCTATGAAACGCACATGTATATTGTGTAAGTAAACACTGTGAACGGTCTATGAAACGCACAAGTGTATTGTGTAAGTAAACACTGTGAACGGTCTATGAAACGCACAAGTGTATTGTGTAAGTAAACACGGTGTTTACGGTCTATAAAACGCACAAGTGTATCATATGGTATATGTGAATCCTATGAACGGTCTATGAAACGCATAGGTGTATTGTGTATGAAATCCTATGAATGGTCTATGAAACGCATAGGTGTATAATATGATATGTGAACACTAGGGACGGTCTATGAAATGCATAGGGGTAAGATAAGAGAGGGATATGGACGGTCAAATAAGATGCATTGTCAACGCAGATATTATGAGCCATTTTAATTGGCCTTGTTTGTACATGTTGTTTCAATTATTTTATATTATGTGTTCCGCGTATAGATCATATGGCTCAGTTGACCCTAAAAGAAGTTTAGAATGATGCAAGTATAATAAGGCTTGATATTTCAACCTACGCGATGTTTTTATAGTCTTTTGATGTACTTTAATAAAAGAAATATGAAATGCTATGATTGATATAAAAACAAAGGGTTTGATGTCTCGAATAAGACAACCTAGCCGATCGGGTCGTGATCGGACTCCGTATTGAGAGGACGGTGGTATTAGTATTGTGAATAATGGTATTGTGAACAATGGTATATTGGTGCTAAGACTCACTAATCTGAAATTATGGGAATTTACGCGACACTTGATGTTTTTGTATTGTTCGAGACTTTCATTGATTTTGTGATTATTCCTCCTTGTAATATTAATTATTCTATTGAGAGGGTGTTTAGTTATACATACTAGTACTATTCGACAGTACTAACGTCCCTTTTGCCGGGGGCGCTACATCTTTTAATGGATGCAGGTATACTTCTACAGGATGATATGGATCTTTGGTAGGGATCTTCTGCGCATCAAATTATGGTGAGCCTACTACAATTCCAGTGGGCACTCGAGTCTAGTTGGTATTATGTACTTAGGTATCTATTGTCATAGAAGCTCCATGTACACTGTGGGTCATGTACTTAAGTTTTGAGTTTCGTCATGTATTTATGTTCACAGATATTTATGAAGCTATGTACCCATGACGAGTGAAAAAGAAAAAAAAATATGGGCCATTAAGCCAAATGTATTCAATATGAAAGTCATGATCTAATTATGTTTTGAAAAATCATGCATGAGTTATGATGGGAGGTTGATGTAACGTAGGCTTGCTCGACTAGGTTCACTCGGTTGAGCGCCGGTCGCGCTACTCGAGTTTGGGGCGTGATAGAGGTATTAAATCGAAGTCTCGAATTCGTTTCTTCTCGTTACACTCCAAAAAATGAGGGGAGTATCTGTATACGGTCGAAATTGGGCATACTCGATTTCGTTGATAGGGGAGTTGCCTTGAGGGTAATCTCATAATAGATCGGGCTCGAGCTCGAAGATAGAACATCAAGCCTGGAGATCGAAGTGTTCATTGAGATCGAGGCCAACAACAATCGAGATCAAGCATGACTGACTTCGAGTGAGGCGTAATAACGGAATGGCGAGATATCAGTAACCGGTCGAAGATCACGGCGGAAATCCCGAAACAGATCAAATTAAAGTACTTATTAGTGCCAATCATGGGATCTACTTCCGTTATCAAAGTTGTACCTTATTTAGGATTCCTCTATTATATAAAGAGGGATCCCATTCACTTGTGATGGGGACAATTATTATTCACTGATAAGAATATACACATACGCTGCTTTCTTTGTTTTACCTATTGTTCATCGCTGTTTGTTCCATTCTTTACTGTTCTTATTAACTAACCTCGAGACTATCTCGAATCGAGGTCGAAGCATTGTTTGCAGACCGGTTTGATTTATTTTATTGTCCAATTTATCTATTTAATTCGTTGTTTATCAATTGGTACTGGTTTAAATCACATATCCTTAAGATTACAATATAAGTTTAATTGTTACTCAATTTTTAGGGTAAACACTCTTGTTCTAGTCCATCTTATGAAATTAAATACCCGTAAAAAGAATTTGTTACAGAATTTGTAATATGGACATTCTTACAAACACCATTTGCAAAATTGTAGATATCATAATCATGAGTTTCTATTTTACCATGACAGATCTAAAATCAGTGACATCATCTATATCTTCAAAGAGAGTAATTGCGTGCACTCCAGCGTTGTTAACCAGGTGGTCCACTGCAAACATAAAAACACAATTACAAACAAAATCTCTAATTAATTAGTATGGGAAATAATCAAATGATCTTACACCGGCCAAAGTGAGTCATGGTTTGGTCAACAATCCTTCTACAGTCAACTTTTGAAACATCAGCATGAACTGTTATAACATCTGGAAAACCTAGTTCACGCGCCCTATCGGCTACTGGCTGCAAGGGTCAAACATGCTTATCTCTTCGCGTACTCATAGGCCAGATACTGCAAAATGACAAACTTATTTCTGTATCGCTATTTCGGTATAAGATACTGGATAACTAATATTCGTTTAACTTATAATACATTATATTGGTTCGGTTTCTGCGGATGTTAAACTCGCGCATAACTTAATACCAGAAAGAGTTTATACAAAAATCTATGAATATTTTATTACTAATTTATAATTAAATATTGTTTAATAGAATGTGAAATGAAGTAGACAGATAAAATAGGCACATTAGCATACTAAAATACTTGGGCTATAACTACATAAACGATCCATGTACTAGTATTATTTAGGCATCTTATGCATGTTCATCGCATAAACAGTATCCCTGCCCTGTGTCATAATGCCCGCATAACAATTAACATATATAGGAGTAAATAGACTGTGAACTAAATGACACAGTAATAATTAATTAAACATGTTTTGGTAGTAGAAATGAATATTCAACACTAAAATGCTTGAAAATATAACCTCGCCGACGCCGGAGGAAGCGCCGGTGATGATGACGACCTTTCCAGCAACATCTTCGCTAAATAGGGTTCCCAAAATTGAGAGAAAGAAGTTGAAAAATTGGAAAGGTGGCAAGAAAAGCAACAGGCTGAAGAAGGTAAACGGAGGGGCTACTAAGTTGAGAATTTTATGAATTAGATCCACCAACATGGCTTATATATGTCTTGTGGCTTTAGCTAGCGTTGCTCAGACACAAGTGAAACTATGTGGACTCAAACCTTTATTTTAATTTACTACAGGACATACAATGGTAGTATATATGAACAGGGACAGAAAGATTTAGAGCGATCCTTTCCTTCATAATAAAACAAAAAAGAAAGATATATTACTACTATACATAAAGGAAAGCCAAGCAGCTTCCCGTCATCGTGCGTGCTTGCGTTTAACAGGAGCTAAAGTTCAATTATTAGTTTTCCATGTGTGCTTCTGTCTGAAGAGCTTATGTGGTGAATTGAGATTTTAATGGCCAACGCCCGTGACTTTATGGCCCAACACCTGTGACTTTATTTGCACAACTCGAACTAGGGTAGATATTTATATTGTCTATGTGCCAGTTTTGTCCTTGAAAAAAAAGGTAAGGAACACTTTATGCTGAGGATTTACTGGACATTTCTCATCAACTAAACGGTGGCCTTGTATTCTTATCTTCCAGCAATTTAACATGAAACTTTCAATTGCATTTTTTCTCAGAAACATTCTTTGAATCTTTTTTCTACGTCTGTGTTCTTCGCTTCACTTTCAGTTTCAGCTGTTGTGCCTCTGTGACGTTTTTGCCTTTTGGTGAGCACACTTGTTCTCTGGCTGTTGCACTTATTATTTTTTTCCCTCTTTATTTCTCTGCTCTGCTTGATTAATTTCTTCTGCGCCTCACCAAACAATACCTCTTTAAAACTTTCAACTCGCGAGACATGCTCTGTAATTTCAAAATTTTGCTATGGATTTCGGTCAATTTGTAATAGATACTAATTTTGCTCCAGCAACATTGATTTAGGAAGATAGGGTTATTGATATCTCCATTTTACTGTTGTTATTTGCTTATTTTTGTACTTTAGAATATTTACTCTCTCTTTTGCATGTGGTGGATATTGATTCTTATCAAACTCGGCCTCAAGTACAAATAATTAGAGGTAGAAACTACATTGAAACAGATGCATTCTCAGAACAAAAACAGTTCTTCCTACTTGGCAGAACGAAACGCAGAAATGAATTTCAGACGGCGTGAGAAATATAAGCAAATGGCATCCACCGAAAAACAGGCTCTACTGCTAAAACGCCGACTACGAGCAAAAAAATCTACCGCATCTGTAGTGTCATCTGAAACAGGTTAGAATACTAAGCATATGTGTTTTCTGCCTTTGTGTAGAATTTTCTACATGTTCGTATCTATCTGTTGATAAATACGCTTACTTCGTCAAGCTTATTTGGTTATTCTTTGACATTAGCCACATTTTGTATTGCAATTATTAGCTATTATGCATCGCGCCACTACGTTGGCAGGCCACTATGACAGGGCAACAAATTCTGCCCACCCATCCTCAATATTTGAAGTAGGCAAGTACAATCCTCTACGTAAAAAGTTTTTACCATTTTTAACTGAGAAAATATTTACTTATATTTATCCTAAAATTATCTGCTACTAGGGTCAATGTCTGGTACGGCTAATGAACAAAATCAGAATTCTTACACTATTCTGAATAAAGGTTGTGTATATTGCAGCATTATTTCTTACCAATCTGGCTTTGCTTCTCCCTTCATTCATTTTGACGTTTTGGTAGTTGCAATCATTAGCCAAATGTGATCAGAATATGTCCCACTAAAACTATTTTTCCGTTGTAAGTTCTGTCTGAGCTAAGAAATTTCAGTTTGAACCTCCTACATTTTGTTGTCACAATGGTTCAGTTAGCTTAACTACACACAAAATGCCCACAAAATTGCAGAATTTATATGTAGGAAATACTGAGGAATCTAAACGCTTTCGCACATACATTAGAACATACAATAATATCTTTGCATTTACATCACTTAGTGTGAGCTACTACAAAGATTTAGCGAGAAGAAATCATAGTATTTATACTTTTAGTGTTCAAGGACAAATGTATCATTTCATAGATGATCTATTTCCTGCGAACGAAAAGGCAAAAAATTTGCAATTATACTTCTATGACAATGATAATGAAGTAGCAAACATAATGGCTTGTTCCGATAGGATTGATGAAAGTATAGTTAGAAATCTGATGGACTTGCTGGGAAATAATCCATATTCTATTTTTTTAAGATCGTTGACTGATGTTTCAAACCTGCCGATCTTCTATATTGTGCTTAAATGTGATGCAGTCTTGAATCAACGAATATATAATCTCCATATTGCATCAGAAGTTGATGCAATATGGGTTGAAGAAAATAGTAGTAATGTTGTTCAAGCACCTCATATTCGAATTTATACTAGTAGTAATAGATCACAATTAGTAAATTATTATTATGGATATTATGATCCTTTACAGTATCCATTACTATTTCCATATGGTCAAGGGGGATGACATTGTAAAATTAAAAAAATTATGCCTGCGACTAAAGCTCATACACAAACTATTTCTTATCAAAATGAAGAGTTACCAAATATTAGAAATATGTATTCAATTGATGGATATCTTGAAATGGAAGAGCAGGTGCTTCAACGGAAAAAACAAAAAAAGGCAATGTTTCTATTCGTGAGTATTATTGTTACAAACTTCAAATGAGAAATGACGATGAAGATGATATTTTACACACAGGAAGACTATTTCAGCAATACTCTATAGATGAGTATATAAAACTTGAAACACAGATTAGACTTTATGTCATTTAATCCAGACTTGTTCAGAGTCGATATGTTACAGGGAATTGTTGATGCTTTACGGCTTGGTGAGAGAGAAGCTGCTAACATTGGAAGGCAAAATTTCCTCCCCGTTACATTTATAGGTGGACCAAGAGATAGGCGTCGACGATATATGGATGCTATAGTGTTAGTGCAACGATTTGAAAAACCTGATATATTTTTAACTATGACATGCAACAAATCCTGGTCAGAAATAAAAGAATATTTGTTGTCAATCGATGAAGTTCAAAATAGACATGACTTAATTAGTAAAGTATTTAGATCCAAAGTAGAAGAATTGAAAAAGGATATACTAAAATGAAACATATTTGGAAAAGTTGCCGCTTTTATGTATACCGTGGAATTTCAAAAGCGAGGTTTTCTGTACGCTCATTTTCTTATCATATTGACTAACAAGTATAAATTACTGATATCTGACTCTTATGATAATATCATCAGTGCTGAAATACCCAATGAAGATACAGAACCATATCTTTATTCACTTGTTCTTCAACATATGATGCATGGTCCCTGTGGAGAACTAAATCCTACGAATTCATGCATGAAAAAAAGGATTGTTGTAAATTTGAATATCCAAAATAGTACACTGATCAAACGTCGAAGGGAAAAAACTCATACCCAGTTTATAGGAGAAGAAATACCGGAGAAAAGGTAAACGTCAGAGGATACGTTTTAGACAATTCTTGGGTTGTTCCCTATAATCCTTATTTACTTGGTAAGTTCAATTGTCACATGAATGTTGAAATATGTTCAGATATCAAAGTCGTCAAGTATCTTTACAAAAATTGCATTTTCTGTACACAATGACACAACTATAGAAATAAATAAAATAAAAGAATATCGATCAGCTAGATGGGTGTCCCCTCCTGAAGCTATGTGGCATTTATTTGGTTTCTCTATAAGTGAAACGAATCCAAGTGTTTACCATCTTCAGTTACATCTTGACGGAAAACAATTTGTTTCTTTTAAAAGCACTGCAAATATAGTCACAGTAGTAAACAACCCAATAATTAAAAAAACTATGTTAACTGAATTTTTCTATACGAATTAAACAAATGATGATGCTATTGAGCTTAACTTATTATATAAAGAATTCCCAGAACACTTTGTGTGATCAGTAACTGAGAAAATGTGGAGTCGCCGCAAACTTTAATGTACTATTGGACGTGTGGTAACGTGTCACCCTACTGAAGGAGAAAGATATTATTTTAGATTATTATTAATGAATATAAGAGGTCCAAAATCATATGAAGATATACGAACAGTGAATGGAGTATGCTGTGATACATTTAGAGAGGCCGCAGAGAAAAGAGGATTACTACATTGTGATAGTAATTTGATTGATTGTATGTCAGAGGCGGTGAGCTATCAGATCCTTTACAGTCTAAGACGCCTATTTGCCACACTGTTGGTACATTGTTGTCCTACTAATCCAAAAGACTTATGGGAAAAGTTTGAAGATTCGATGTCAGAAGACTTTAAGATTTTTCCAGATCTTCCCGCGAAAGATATTCGACATAAAGTTTTGAGTCATATTAACGAAATTTTACATTCGATGGGACACAATGTTAATGAGTACAACCTTATTTATGAAATTATACAGATTTCTAGAGAAGCAAAAGAAGCAAGAGAAGTTCACTTTGAAAGAACAATTACTGTTTATGAGGCTGATATATTGTTAGAGAAAAGGCTGAATATTGAACAACGAAGAGCATACAATGTAATTATTGGCAGAATATTTTCAGATAGAGGGGGAGCATTCTTTATTGACGGTCCTGTAGGAACAGGTAAATTTTTTTATACCGTGCTTTGTTAGCTACCGTGCGATCTAAAGAATTCATTGCGCTAGCAACATCAAGCTCAGGTGTTGCAGCTTCAATCCTTCCTGTAGGACGAATTGCTCATTCACGTTTTAAAATTCTTATTGATGTTGATCAAAACTTCAGTTGTAACATTAGTAAACAAAGTTCACTAACATATTTAATTCGAGATGCAAAGCTAATCGTATGGGATGAAGTATCAATGGTGAAGAGTAAGATGATTAAAGTCTTTGATTTTCTTTTGAAAGATATTATGGATTCACATGCACTATTTGGTGGGAAAGTAGTTGTGTTTGGAGGTGATTTTAGACAAACCCTTCATGTAGTTCGAAATAGAAAAAAGGAAGACTTTATCCGCGAAAGCTTGTGTTATATTATAATATTTGGAACCGACTTGAAAAATTATAGTTATCTGAAAATATGCGTTCCAAATCTGATCACGCTTTTTGTAAATATTTGATGAGAATTGGAAATGAAACAGAAAAAGTTAATTGTGATAACAAAATTGAAATTCGAGATTCTATAGTTATTCCTTTTACATCTGAAGAAGAATCTTTAGATGAATTATTTAAGATCATATATCCAAATGTAAGTACATTTTTTTCTGATTCATTTTCAGTAACTTCTCGTATTATTTTAACAACAAAAAATGGCTTTGTTGATGAGTTAAATGATATGCTTATTGCTAAATTTCCGTTTACATCAAAGACATATGTTGCTATTGATGAAACTGTTGAACGTACTGATCAAAGTCAGTTCGGAGATTTTCTACATACTTTAAACCCTTCTGGCTTGCCTCCGTACAAGTTAACTCTAAAAAATAAATTGTCCAGTTATATTACTACAAAATCTGAATCCTTGTGAAGGGTTATGTAACGGCACACGATTAACATGCTGTGATTTCAAAACGCATGCTGTAAGTGCTAAAATTGCCACGAGTGATTTTAAGGGTACACATTTATTTATTCCTAAAATACCACTGATATCGTCAGATGATGAAAAAGTCCCTATTCCATTCAAAAGATTACAGTTTCCTTTACGATTATGTTTTGCAATGACTATAAATAAAGTACAAGGTCAAACATTAGATTTTGTTGGTATTTATTTACGTGAGCCTGTTTTTTCGCATGGTCAACTCTACGCTGCATTATCGAGAGCTAAAAGTTCAGAGTGTATCAGATTGTTGATTCGACCACCTACATCAGATAATGATGATGACCATTCTACATATAATGTAGTTTACAATGAAGTTATTCGAAAAGCATTTTCATGAATTTAGTAACCTAATAGAAAAGTAACATGTTTATGACATACAAAATAAAGATGCTACTTTAACTCTACACTACAGATTTGATGTAAACGATCAAGGGCATTTTGAAGTACGATACATGTATTTACTATCTCCTCCTTTGTATTTTGTTTTGAATAAATTTTTTTACTTCGCTTAAGTGTTATTTTTGTGCGAGAGAAGCACATTGTATTAAAAGACTATTCTGTAACATATTACTAAAATAGGCAATGTTGGGATTATTCGACAACTCCATACTTTTATCTTCGGCTGTTGTCTAAGTCAATCTTTATTTCAGGCGAATAACCCTTGCATAAAAAACCAGATAGTGTGTCTGATAACTTCTTTGTCACCAATCTTTAAAAAATATTTTTAACTCCGGCTGTGTTTGAGTTATACTATAACACAACCGATCCCAAGTTTGGTTAAAGGAACAAGATTTACTGTCTATTAGATGTTAGTTCTCTAACTGCCTCATTTTTATTTCTTGATGATTTTATTTGTCTTGAATTTGTTCTTCTCCATTATATAATAGAGTTGCCTCTTATCCATCTGTCACGTCCCAAAAATCACCAGTCGTGATGGCACCTAACTCGACCCGTTAGGTAAGCCAACTAACAGTCAATACAATCCAATTAAAATTTGTAGAAAAAATAAGAAGAATTATCTGAACTTTTACAAATTAACCCAAGAACTGGTAGTACAAATCATGAGCATCTAGGACTTAGAATTAGGAAAAGGAATGTAACTTCAACTAACTAGCATGGTGGAGGCATGAAGATAGATATAACAAACAAGAAAGGGGACACATGATCTTTATAAGTTAACAAGTAGAGACATGAATGACTAACATGGAAGAAGACCTGTACCTAAGTGCAACAAAACAGATATGTCATGGATGCAATTATAATAGCAGGAAGTAGGCATGATATTTACAAGTTAAGCAAGTAGAAGGCATGGGCAACACAACAACAATTGAGATAGAGAATAAAGACAGAACAGTGACGACAAGTCATATAAGAACCATAAGTACGACAATAACAATTCAAGGTAAGGACATGAAGATATCTCCAGGAAAAGGATATCATAACATAATGCATGTTCTTCGTCCTCACTTGTACGGAAATACCCTTCGTGCCATGAACTCGCAATAACATAAAAATATGATAATATAAATGCAATGTCATGGCATCATCCTTCGTGCTTTTACTCACATAACATGGCACGACATTACCCTTCGTACTTTTACTCACAAATGATATGGCACGACATCACCCTTCGTGCTATTACTCTCAGATAATATGGCACAGCATCACCCTTCGTGCTTTACACTCTCCCTCACATGATAATGTATAAACAATGGCACGGCATCACCCTTCGTGCTTTACACTCTTCCTTACCAAGCATATATATATCAATGACAAATAAGGCAGGAAGCATAAATAATGTCAAGGAGAGTATTTAAACGAATATTCCAAATGAATCCCAATCACAACTTTTCAAGCCAACAATAATTCAATAAACCCGCAAGAACCTTATTATTCAAGTATTCCAACAAATCTCACAAATGATCTACAACACAAGTGTAAAATCTAGTATCTCAAGAATATCGGCCGTAACAATGTATTAATGATTATGCATAATGATGACCGAGTGAAACACATCAATGTAATCTCAGAATTCCATCGAATTTGTTCAAGTCATAATGAACTAAGTCTTAGTTTCCAACATTTAATACTATATTCTTAGTATCTTGGAATCAAGTAAGGCATGAAGCAAGAAGATCACGTAAATGTACAAGACACAATTCATAACATAATTTACCCCCGAGCATGGTTAACCCTGTCACATGCATATGTGATCGTTACCCCATATATGTATCATCCCCGCATGTAGCAAACAATGTTAAATAATAAGGAAAATTTTCTCAACAAAGTTAGGCAAGACACTTACCTCAATTCGGCTAATTCAATACTCAATTTAGCTTTTCCTTTATAAGATGCACCTCCGCTCGGTTCAATCTAGCCAAAGATGACTTAAATACATCATACAATGCAAGGGAAATCAATTTTAATTAATAAAGATGTGATTTTTATTCAATTTCTAAAAGGTCAACAAAAGTCAACTCCCAGGACCGCCCGATCAAAACCCGAGTCTAAGGGTAGGTCTTGACTACCCATAGCCTCACGAGTCCAAATATGTATTTTGTTTCCAAATCCGAGTCCGATTCGACTCTCAATTTCCATTTTCAAAGTTTTGACAAAATTCCCAAAATTTTCCCTAGATTTCTCATGAATTTGATGTTAAATCTTGTGTAAAATCATGAAATGTAGTTGAGAATTGATTATAGGCACTTACCCAATAATTTGGTATGAAAATCCCTTCCTAAAATCGCCTCCAATCGAAGCTAGGGTTCAAAATATATCAAAATGAAGCTAAGTCTTAGAATTCGTCGCAAATACGATAGGGGGTTCGCATTGCAAATGCGAACAAAATATCGCAATTGCGAACTGGAGACTTTCCTGCTAAGGTCGCATTTGCGACCAAAAGCTTCGCAAATGCGAAAAAGGGACCATCGCAAATGCAAGATATTCTTCGCAAAAGCGAACTCCAGCCCAGCAGCCCAGGTTCGCAAATGCGAGGCTGCTTCGCAAATGCGAGGCTGCTTCGCAAATGCGATTAAACAAGAACCAGCACTTAAAACTTTAACAAAAACAATATGAAACCAATCCGAAACTCACCCGAGCCCCCGGGGCCCCAAACTAAATACCCACAAAAGTCCAAAAACATCACACGAACTCGCTCGAGCAATCGAAACATCAAAATAACCTCTAGAATCACGAATCGGATGCCAAAACGCATGAAGATCAAAGGAAACTTCAAACACTTCTAGAATCGCAGCCAAGCGTCCGAACCATATCAAATCAACTCCAAATGGCGCCATGTCACGACCCAAACCAACCCTGTCGTGATGGCGCCTATCGTGGAACTAGGTAAGCCGACTCATTTCCAAAACAACCGATATTTTCATTTCAAAGATAATTTCAAGGCTATTTAACATAAAAACCTTCGTAAAGGAGCTCAAGTCAAAACAAAAGTGCAGAAAGAAAAGCCCGACATCGGGGTGTCACTAGTCATGAGCATCTACTACAATTTGTTTGACAATATCGAGACTAACATAGTCTGGAAAATATCTAAATACAACTAAATGAAGATAAGAGGGAGAAGAGCAGGGCTGCGATCGCCAAGCAGCTACCTTGCTATCCCCGAGAAGATTTGCAACCAGAATAGTCAACAGCCGCTACCGTGTCCAGCTACACCTCGATCTGCACATAAGGTGCAGAGGGTAACGTGAGTACGCCAACTCAGTAAGTAACAACAGTAAATAAAGACTGAGCAGTAGTGACGAGCAACAAAGCATATAAAGTTCATATCATGAAATCTCGGTAAAATACAACATGCTTTAAAAATCAGTCTTTGAATCGAATCATCTCGTTTAAAACCCAGTTCCAGTAAAAAAATCACTTAAAGAAATTTTTCAACAGTTTCAAACAGAGGCTTAATGCAAAGGTGAGCAAAAATGATGAAATCATAAACAGCCCCTCGAGCAAAACATCACTCATATACAGCCTCTCGGGCAAACCTCATAGTCACTCATACCTCTCAGCCATACCTCACAATCACTCATTCCACTCGGGCATACCTCACAATCACTCATGCCTCCCAGTCATTCAGCACTCGGCACTGGCACTCAGTAGGTACCTGCGCTCACTGGGGGTGTGTACTGACTCCGGAGGGGCTCCTTCAGCCCAAGCGCTATATCAAGCCAAATCATGGCATAAATCACTCAAGCCCTCGGCCTATATCATACATGCTACGGCGTGTAGCCCGATCCCATAAATATCCTCACAAATCAGGCCCTCGGCCTCACTCAGTTGTAAACCTCTCAAGCCACTCGGGCTCTCAGTAAAATAGGGTACTCAGCCCAAAACAACATTTATATGCATCAAAATAGAGTAATAAAACTGAGTTATGCAGTAAATAGGTATAACCATGACTGAGTATAGATTTTCAATCGAAAACAGTGAGATGATAGTAAGAAAAAGGCCCCTAAGGGTCCTAACAGCGCTGGCACAAGGCCCAAACATGGCATTCAACCCAATTTACAGAAACTTTTTTCTAAAACTCATAAGTATCATATAGTTTCAACAAAATATGCAAATTTACAGTTGTTATGGGACAAACCAAGTCACAATTCCCAGCGGTGCACGCCCACATGCCCGTGACCTAGCATGTGCGTCACCTCAAAATAGTAAATGATACGAAATCCGGGGTTTCATACCCTCAGGACTAGATTTACAATCGTTACTTACCTCAATCCGGTCAAATCTCTACCCCGCGATGCTTTTGCCTCTCAACTCGGCCTCCAAATGCTCCGAATCTATTCACAATCAGTACAATACCATCAATATATGCTAATGGAATGAATTCCACAAGAAAACTACCAATTTAGACCAAAAATCCGAAATTCACTCACGAGTCCATACATACAAAACTAGAAAGCCCATTCACTCACGAGTCCATACATACAAAATTCATCAAAATCTGACCTCATTTGGTCCCTCAAATCCTTAAATCAAACTCTCCAAAATCCCAAGCCCTAACCCCTCATTTCACTTCAAAAATTCTACTAATTAATGATGAACAAAGCCATAGATTCACGAAGTTTATAGCATTATGGGTTAGAATCACCTACCCCAATGTTGCTCCTTGAAAACCTTCATAAAATTGCCCTTCTCCCGAGTTCCTCAAGCCCAAAATTGAAAATTAAAGACAAAACCACGAGCTGGAGGTTTTCTGCCCAGCACTATCGCACCTGCGGCCTCTGTTTCTGCTTCTGCGATGCCGCACCTGCGGAAATTTCCATCGCAGGTGCGGAACTCACTAAAGAGCCCAGCTTCCGTATCTGCGGCCCAAATCGCGCG